AAACAAAACTGGGACAAACACAACGCATTTCACGCTGACACGAGGCCGTAACGATGAAATAAACTTCACCAAACAGCAGCTGATTCGGCGGGGAGAGTGGGGGATGTCATCTCTTTTGGGTGAGGACATGTATTATTCATGCTGTCGTTGGGGACGTTGTGAAGTCACAAGAGTGTAAGTAATAGTGTGTGTCACATAAATCAACAGCAATGATGACCTCATTTTATGGCACAACTCCCTCCCTCCACCCACACACACACACACACACACACACACACACACACACACACACACGCGTGCACGTTCTAAAGTGTGTGTTTCTTCTGAGTCATTTAACTTCTAATCAGGACACGGAAACAGCTTTTAATTGTTAGAAGCAGGAAGTGGCTTTCAACACTTCTAACTCAATCTCTTACCTGGTTTTAAACACCTCTACGAGGAAAACTTACCACGATGAAGAAATTTGATTCGTTACATCAAACAAGTGTTTTCCTGCTGCAAAATAATGATTATTTTTACGTGGCTTTTGAAAATCAGAAGATGCTTCATAAGCATAAGTTTCATGGCAGAGGAGTTTTAAGCTAATTTTGTTTTCCAAATTTGCCCTTGCAGCTTTCTAGAATGACATAATTGCAGCATTAGATAGTGAGCAGGTCTGTATCGCCACCTTTATAGACCTTTCCAAGGCCTTTGACTATGCTGATCACAGCTTCCTTTTACAAAGGCTGTCCAATGTTGCTCTGTCAACCTCCAGCTGTAACTGGTTTGCAAGTTATCTTACCAACCAACCATGTCCAGCAATTAAGGGTGGAGGACATTATGTCAGATCCACTGATTGTCTCTAAAGGTGTGCCTCAAGGCTCCATTCTGGGCCCAATGCTTTTTTCTGTCTATATTAATAATATAGCCGAGGCTACTGGCACCTCCCAGATTCACCTCTATGCAGATGACACCATTCTGTACATAGTTGGTCCCTCTTCCATATCTGTGGCTTCCTGTCTTCAACTCAGATTAGCCTCCATAGAGCCGTTTGTTGATAATCTCCGCTTCTGACGGAACACCACTAAGACCAAGTGCATGCTTTTCAGCCAAATACCCGCTGCTTCAATTCCATCCACAATCACTTGTATGAACGGCATGATTCGGAAGTATGTCAAAACCTATAAATATCTAGGCATTTGGTTGGATTCATCTCTTTCATTCACCACACACATCAATAACCTTCGAGGAAAAGTCAAAGCCAGACTAGCTGTTCTATTCCACAATAAAGCTACTTTCACTCATGTCTCCAAATGCACCCTTGTTAAGATGACTGTACTGCCAATTTTGGATTATGGCGACATTATATATAGAATGGCGCCAAACACAGCTGTAAAAAAACTTGATGCACTTTATCATTTAGCCATCTGTTTTGCCACTAATGCTCTCTTTTATACCCATCATTGCGATCTGGTGGGCTGGCCCTCGCTTCACACCCGGCGCCTCCATCATTGGATTCTCTTCATGTGCAAGACAATCCTGGGAAAGACACCTCTGTACCTTTCATCTCTCCCCAACATCTACCACCTTTGGACATAATGCCTTTCGCTTTGCAGCAGCACACATCAAGAATACATTCCAGAAAACCTTAAAACTTATTTACTTGATGTCAGTCTCAGAACTTAAGCAGACCATCCAAAATAAAATAGCTGAATGTTGTTCCTGCTGACCATACTGAAAATACACCTATAAGCTCCTTTACTCTTCCTTTATATTTACTACTGCTTTGTTTTACATTGTATGCATTGTCTGTTTTCCTTATTTATCAGCCTGTTGGCCAGGTCATGTTTGTAAATGAGAAGTGGTTCTCAAACAGTTAACCTGGATAAAAAACTTGAAACACTTTATCATAAAACAAATAAATTATCTTCTAATTACAACCAGGTGCATTGAAGCAGGAATACCTTTGTGTCCAATCCTCGGGCCACTATCCTGCATATTTTAGTAGTTTCTCTGCTCTAACACACGTGAATGAATGGTTTAATTACAGAAGCCGGATAATTACCCACTGATGTAAACCAGGTGAGCTGAAGCTGTAGGATTAGGACGGGACACCACCGATCCAACACCTGCAGAGCAGCAGGACCAAAAGACGAAGGAAGTAAAAACAGTTGAATTTTAAGTTTTTAGCAACTGCTAAGGAACCAGTCAGGTTTAGAGATGTTAAATTACTCCAGCTTCGATAACAGGAGGGCTGTCTTTAGTTTTTACTTCATTGAGTTGAAGGAAAAGAAAACAAATAACTGCAGGTGCTAAAAATGAGGTTGGTTTGTTTTAAACGGGAGAGTTGCAGGTTTACCACTGCCTTGACTAGTTGTACTCTGTGTGTCACGCATCAGTTTGGACCCCTCCGACCACCACCAGCAGGCAAGGTGGGTTAAGTGTCTTGTCCAAGGACCCAACAGCAGAATTCTCTGTCCAGAGCCGGGATCGAACCTGCAACCTTCCGAATACTGGACAACCCGCTCAACCTGTTGAGCTACTGCTGCCCTGTCCAAGTTCATCTTAAAGGTCCGAATGAAACAGCCAGCAAAGGATTTTAATTCTCTACAACTTCATTTACCTCAAGTGGTCTGATCTTCCCACTTTCACGCATCACTTCTGCAGAATTTAGAAACGCAGCGCTTACCTCGCTCATGCTCCAACAGCGTGAAGTATATACATTTTAAAAATATCGTTATGAGAAATGGGAATTTTCCATGATAACTTTTCGGTCCTTGTTTAGGTCGGATCTTACTGCACCGATGATAGAGTAGAATATCTCATTTGCCTGCTTGTCTTAATTTGTTTGCAGGAGTTGTCCATGTCGCAGGAAATCTGAACGTGTTCTTTAAACAGGGCATCTGCAGGTTTAAGGGAGTCAAATTTAAGACTTTTTAAGACATTTTTAGGCCACTTTGACCAAATGTAAGCAATTTTTCAAATTAAATTTAAGCTATAATTTCCAGCTATTGCCTGGAACCGGTGCTAACCACGTCGCGAACGTGGGATTAGCCATCCAGTTACCATTAAACTTGCACTTCCACATGGCGCAAGCTTCCGCTAGCTTAACCAGCTAATGTGCTCATCTAAAAATAGCCCCCTTTCACAACCAGCTGAATGTGTACGGTTCCGCTTACGCCAACATCGTACACAAAAAATGCTGAACACTAACTAGAAAATCACAAAAGTTTTATAGAAATAAAATAATCTTGTTTATTGGGTCTTTGGTAATTTAAGACCTTTGGAAACTGTATTTAAGGATAATTTGTCATTTTTAAGGATTTTTAAGGCCTTAAATTTGGAAAAGCTAATTTACGACTTTTTAAGGACCCGCAGATACCCTGTTTAAAGCCTGGGTGAGGCTGGTGGTCCAAGTTCCAAATAAAATGAGTGATTCACTATTGTTTTTAACACAAGTTTCACTGAAAAGAACAAAGTCTCGTTTTGTTTCAAGCATTGGTCAGAACACCTCCTACATGCCCCCTGGGTATAGAGGAGGGCTTGGGAAGAGTCCCACCAGAGGAGCTGGTGGAGGAACTGGGGAGAAGACAGGCTTCTCTACAGAGCTACTTCACTGACCAGGATAAAGAGAAGACAACTAAACAAGATCTGTACATATGAGACATGTAAAGGTCTTTTATGTTTGCCTGAAAAACCAAATTCTCTCAGAAACTGTATTTTACATATTTTTAAAAATACGATCATGCAGGCTGAACGTGAAAATTTGCTTCTATCCCTATTTCCTGCATTCACTGCCGAAAGAAAACAGACGGGGAAACTCTCGGATTACAAAAGCCAGTCAGATCTACGTCACGCTGAAAATTTGCAACCACGGATTTGCCCATTTTGGCTTCCGACCACAGATGTTCATGTAGTTTCAGCGTCCAGGAAATAGCAGAGAACATCTCGGCTAGTAGAAGCTAACCGTTAGCATTAGCAACTCCATCCCACAGCAGAACTACCCCAGGCTTGTGTTATTTACTGAGATGAAACATCAACGTTCTGAGCAAACAGAGTCAGTGGTAGAGTCACTTTGCTGTTGGCCAATCAGAGGGTAAGACATCCAACTGACATGAATAATAATAATAATAATAATAATAATAATAATAATAATAAATGGAACCTAGATTTAATGGGTCAATTGTTTTCTAGTACTTGGTAACCAAAATAAATTTGAGGCCACACTAGAGAAGGATCTGGGTTCCCTTTTAGTCTTCATTCATGAGCAGAGCTCAAAGGCTGCAAGGGTTTGTGGTTGTTAACCACAAAATACAATTAAAGCAGAAAAAATGGGCGGACGATATTCTACCGTTCTGCTATTTCAGTCGAGGGCCAAATAAATCCCTCTAAGAACCACAAAAGGCCGCAGAGCCACACTTTGGACACCAGTATGTTTTTTGTTAGACGATGAGACGTGCTGATTTATTAAACATTATTCTAGCGTACGAGGACAAAACCTACACGGGTAAACTCTGTGAGGCGACAGCCTTCCTTTAAGGACGCACAAGCCTGGAAGGTGCTGAGATAATGTTGTGTGACTCCAAAGTAAGCCCAAAAATAACTCGGGTAAATGTTCTTTCCACCGGTACGGTGCACACCCTGTTCACTGTGTTGATGTCTAAGAGTCCGTGCAGGTGTTGTACCTGGCAGCCGACCCAAACAGTTGTCAGTCTACCACCACACCTGGCTGGAGCTTCAGACAACCACACAGTAATAAACGCTCTGCGCTGAGTCCGCACGACAACACCCACACACCGCCACGCTCTTACTCACTGCCACTGATCAGAAGATAACAGCAGCACAAGTCATCGCCACTGCCAAAACACAGACGCAGACAGACGGTGAGGCAGCAAGCAACATTCCCAACATGCAAGCATGAAACGCAGCCCCCCCCCCCCCCCCCCATCCTCAAGAAGACAGAAAGAGCCTTCACAAGTATGAGTTTCATTTTCCCATGGCCTGAGAGCCACACACAAACAAGCAACATCATAAAATAACAAAATACAGACGCTTGAGGTCTGCTTTGTGACAAAAGTCTGCAGAAACACACCTAACAGCAGAGCTCCCAACGTCCTCTCTAGTTCCCAACTACGGTACAGGTTCTTTCTAGACTCTTTGCCCCAGGCCGGCTTTAAAGGGATGTCAATAATTTGCCAAGCTTTTATTTTCCACATTGGTTCATTGCAGCTCTTGTCTTGTCTTGCTGCCTGTTGTTTTGCTGCTCGGGAACCTTGAGAGGTGATCTCATCTGTGCCGCGCTCCTCAGCCCCTGCTCCCAAAACAAGATTGTGTTTATCTGACCAAAATAGCCGCCTCGGGCTGGAAAAACCCTAGACAAACAGAAATAGGCCGAGAGTTTCCAAGGAAGACGGTCTGGGCTGGAGGTGATGCTGCTTGTGAGCGACGGCAGCTGCAGCCACAGAACAAGGAGGCTAGAAAGTAATGGTTAGAGACAGACAGGTAAATGGAAACTATCATTATTGTTGAACTACTGCAAACCGCAGCAGCCACTTGTGCTTCTCAGCTTACAAAATAAAAAAGACTTAGTTTTGGGAGAGATATGATCTAAATAGTCCTAAAATGTGTTTTAAATATGCTTTTCTTGTCTCATAATTTGTAAAATCCCATTTATAGAGTTTCCTATTTTCTCTAGAACTGTCAGTAACTTTAATATTTTTATTTGTAAAAAGTAAAAAGTTGAAAATCTGTGTCTATTTTGAAATTATTAATACAATCCTGGTTAAAATGGAGTTTGAAATATGCTTTAATTATGTTATCATATAGACAAAAAGATTATTATTTACTAAAACAGAAAAGAAAATATTTATGTTTTATTTGGTTTTGAGGACCCAGTAAGTCTTTCACCTTAGATTTTTACCTACGGGTAACTTTAGTTACTTTACTCAGAGCAGTAGGCTGATTATTCAGGTTTTTGCAGACCGCGACTACAGCAGTGTCTAATGGACATAGACATGAAAATAACAAAAATTATTCTATTTTATCTCACTATCATGAAAGAAGCTTTAACATTATAGACAAAATCAGAATTTTAGGAGGTTTGGGCACACAACTCATTCCTTATCATGCAAACCAAATTATTTAGCTCCAAAAATAAATATTCCAATCAAAGTAAAATATCTAGTTAGTAACCTAAAAAAATGTGGGAGCTAAATATTTAACATGAACTAAATAAAACTATCACATGACTTGGACTCGAGTCATTATTTTAATGACTTCTGACTTGACTTGGTAAAATCTATAAAGACTTACAACTTGACTCGGACTTGAATGCCAATGACTTGCGACTTGAATCGACTTGCATCTGTTGACTTGAGGATGACTTGAGCATATTTGATATTTTAAGCGCAAAAGTGGCGCGACATGGACAAAAATCATAAATCATTCTTCGTTCTGGGTTTGATTTACTGCTAACAGCAAGCAGCACTTTGTTTATAATCAGTTTAGGTTTCTGCTGTTTGAGCAAATAAATGAAGATTTAAGAAGCTTTTCTGGAATTTATTATCATCATTGTCATTAAATTGAAGTTGGACAGATGACTTGATTATGACTTGAAAATTCAAAGTTAAGGACTTGGACTTGACTTGGACTTCCACATCATTGACTTTGGACTTGACTTGGACTTGGTTGTCTTTGACTTGGACTTGACTCAAGACTTGACTAGAAGGACATGTGACTTGGTCAGACCTCTGATAAATAGTGCCTAGCTAGCTAACTAAATATTTAATGTATGAAAGACAGTAAATATGACTTTAAAGTTTGAACTCGCATTTGTTCTCTTAGGTGAGGCTAAATATCCCTAAGTACTGACATTTTGACTGTATGACTTTACAAATGGCTCCCCATAGTGTCCTGACCTGCAGTCCAATTAACTCTTTGCTTCAAACTTTACTTTTGTTTTTAGTCAGTGTTACTTTTACTTTCACTGCTGTTAGAACCGGGCTTCCTCTAAAATCCTTCTCTTCTGACTAAAGCTGCAAAGGCAATCTTGGAAAATAGATTACCTTAAACCTTTTTTTTCATGTTGCTAAACGACGTTCTAACATAGTATAGCTATGAATATATTGTGGAGATAAAAAATGAAAAAAAAAAAAAGAATAAAGTGGTTCATTTTGTCTAAAAACCTCCACCAATAACATGGCTTGGTCTGAAACAAGCAATAGGTTGTCGGTCTCACCGAACCGCCACTTCCCTGGGTCCTCCACGTTGCAACAGAACACCATTGGTGTGAGAGGTTCTCTACTCAATAATATCACAGAAGGAGAAACCACGCGGACCACGCAAACAACAAAAGATGTTTGGACCTAGAAACAGTGACTGGTGTTTGGCAATATCTTGTTTTCTCTGGCAATTGGGAGCCTGTCTACTTCCGCACCATGGGTCCCCGGATGAACGAAAAAATGAATGCGAGTCAATGGGTCTAAAAACGCTATTTTCTAATCCACTTTGCCTTACGCTCTGGATCGCACATATGTTAAACTTCAATTTAAATTATGCCAGTCATGTACTTTGAGATTGATCAGCTTTTAAAAGTTCGTAATGACTACAAATCGGACAACGATACGTCACATATGTGACGTCACCACAGAATCTCCTCTCCCCTAGCGTAGCTGTTACTTACCATATGGCCAGATTTATGGTGGTTCTATCCTCCTGTGGGAAGGCTTTGAAGTATATCAGCTCTGTCTGGAAGTTAGTCGGAAAACTTTCTCTTTCAGTCGTGAACACATTACTGAGCGGTTAAAATCTCAGTTTCTGGGCTTCAACGTCGGAAAATAGCTGAGTAAACTCGACGCTGAGTGAGAGGAGTGTTTAGTTTGTCCGAGACAGCGGAGCTGCAAACACCGGCAGCAGACGCTGGAAAAAACACAATGGAGGGGGTGCTTCAACTCTGCGCTAATGCCACAGAGCATCATGGGAGTTGTAGTCTTTGCTGTAAAATAGGCCAGCGGTTCAGTTTTAATATATTTTTGATATTTATCTCATGGGCCACAAAAAATACCTGAGGGCCACATCTGGCCCGCAGGCCTTGTGTCTGACACGTGTGAAATAGTTTAAGGAAAACTACTGTTTTCCTTTAGTCTATGTAGTATTAAACAAAACTGTTAAACATTTGTTTTTATGACTTGAGCTTGGCTGTGACTTGCTTTTAGCTCCTCAATCCAGTGAGAACTACAGGTCCTTCTAAAAAAATTAGCATACTGTGATAAAGTATTTTATTTTTATATTTTTATATTGATGATTTTGGCGTACAGCTCATGAAAACCCAAAATTCCTATCTCAAAAAATTAGCATACCATGAAAAGGTTCTCTAAACGAGCAATTAACCTAATCATCTGAATCAGCGTATTAACTCTAAACACCTGCAAAAGATTCCTGAGGCTTTTAAAAACTCCCAGCCTGGTCCATTACTCAAAACCGCAATCATGGGTAAGAGTGCCGACCTGACTGCTGCCAAGAAGGCCATCATTGACACCCTCAAGCAAGAGGGTAAGCCACAGAAAGAAATTTCTGAACGAACAGGCTGTTCCCAGAGGGCTGCATCAAGGCACCTCAGTGGGAAGGAAAAAGTGTGGCAGAAAACGCTGCACAATGAAAAGAGGTCACCGGACCCTGAGGGAGATTGTGGAGAAAGACCGATTCCAGACCTTGGGGGACCTGCGGAAGCAGTGGACTGAGTCTGGAGTAGAAACATCCAGAGCCACCGTGTACAGGCGTGTGCAGGAAATGGGCTACAGGTGCCGCGTTCCCCAGGTCAAGCCACTTTTGAACCAGAAACAGTGGCAGAAGCACCTGACCTGGGCTACAGAGAAGCAGCACTGGACTGTTGCTCAGCGGACCAAAGTACTTTTTTCGGATGAAAGCAAATTTTGCATGTCATTTGGAAATCAAGGTGCCAGAGTCTGGAGGAAGACCAGGCAGAGGGAAATGCCAAAATGCCTGAAGTCCAGTGTCAAGTACCCACAGTCAGTGATGGTCAAGGGTGCCATGTCAGCTGCTGGTGTTGGTCCACTGTGTTTTATCAAGGGCAGGGTCAATGCAGCTAGCTATCAGGAGATTTTGGAGCACTTCATGCTTCCATCTGCTGAAAAGCTTTATGGAGATGAAGATTTCATTTTTCAGCACGACCTGGCACCTGCTCACAGTGCCAAAACCACTGGTAAATGGTTTACTGACCATGGTATTACTGTGCTCAGTTGGCCAGACAACTCTCCTGACCTGAACCCCGTAGAGGATCTGTGGGATATTGTGAAGAGAAAGTTGAGAGACGCAAGACCCAACACTCTGGATGAGCTTAAGGCCGCTATCGAAGCATCCTGGGCCTCCATAACACCTCAGCAGTGCCACAGGCTGATTGTCTCCATGCCACGCCGCATTGAAGCAGTCATTTCTGCAAAAGGATTCCCGACCAAGTATTGAGTGCATAACTGAACATAATTATTTGAAGGTTGACTTTTTTGTATTAAAAACACTTTTCTCTTATTGGTCGGATGAAATATGCTAATTTTTTTAGATAGGAATTTTGGGTTTTCATGAGCTGTATGCCAAAAATCATCAATATTAGAAACAATACAAGGTCTGAACTACTTCAGTTGTGTGTAACGAATCTAATATATATGAAAGTCTAATGTTTATCAGCACATTACAGACAATAATGAACTTTATCGCAATATGCTACTTTTTTGAGAAGGACCTGTACATACAAACATTTTCAGTTTTAGCCGGTGTACTACCTGCTAAAGGGTACTGAAAAAATCACCAGAGATGTTTTTGTCAGTGTTGTGTCACAAAATGTTTCAGTTAGTACAAGAAAGATTCAAGGCTTTTCACTATCGGAACATCACGGCATGCACACATCTCCATATCACCGGGCTGGCCAAAGGACCATTTTAAGAGCTGTTATCAGAAACCAATGGAGTACCTGAGCTGTACTGGGAACGGGCTGGTAGAGTTGCTGAGCGGGACTTTTGGTTAACTCTTACTGATTGGTTGTAACTCAGTATAGGGAGCCTAAGTCTACACCCTTTCTGGTCGGCTCACGGGTCCCCGGAAGAACCAAAAAATTAATGCAAGTCAACGGGGCTAAAAACGCTATTTTCTAATCCGCTTTGCCTTAGAACCTAGATCGCACATGCGTTGTACTGAAATTTAAATTAAAACTAATGATGAGTGTTTCGACTACACCAGTCACGTACTTTGCGATTTATCAGACTGTAAAAGTTCGTAATTAGCATGACTACACACCAGAAATCGCACGTCGCATATGTGGCATCACCACATAATCTCCTCTCCCCTAGCATAGCTGCTACTTTCCACATGACCAGATTTATGGTGGTTCTTTACTCCTGTGGGAAGTTTGCTGAACTTAGACATTTTCTCTCAGTTTTCTCCGTGTCTGGTTCGATGACGTCACTTTCGTGATGCACACTTGTAGTCCTAGACTTATTTTCACACAAAACCTAAAATAGTGCTTCCCCCTGTTCGAAAATAAGCGCGTACTTGGTATCAAAATGCGTCTTTAAAATTCACAGACATCATGTGTGAAATCCATGGAACAAAACAAGCGGAATTAGAAAATAGCGTTTTTAGCCCCGTTGACTTGCGTTCATTTTTTCGTTTTTATGGGGACCCGTGGTGCGGAAGTAGATGGGTGTGACTTAGGCTCCTTATTGGAAATGACATGAGCAGATGTCACCAAAACAATTTGTAATGTTGGTAGAGTTGCTGGTGGAGCAAAGTGGAAGGAAAATAAGGTAGGCAGTGTTTGTTACTTTACAATCATCGTTATTAAACCCTCAAAACTGAAAAGGAAGCGGAAATCCCAACGACGTAATTCACGAAGGTGTTGTCTCACTGGGCAACATAAAAAAACTGTTTTTTTCTGTTTTACAACCTCCAGGTCCTCTGACTTGATTACAGTATACTTTGACAGAATAAAACTTAGAATGTTACTAATGTTCGTGGATGCATTTTGGTACCAATCAATGACACCACTCACTGCCGAAGCAGTCGCAATTTGCTGAAATTTGATCCAAATTATTTGTACTTCTTTCAAGCTGAGTGAAAAGCCATGGAAATTGTCATTTATTGAACACGACAGTAATTTTAGTGGCAAAAGTTAATAAAAACCATGAGTTTTTTGGTCAAATTTGAGTTAAAATCTTCCTTTCAGACTTACTGGAATGTTTATCTGATTGTTTAAATCTCACCTGCTTCTAAATATAACACGAATAACAAGATTTACTGACAGCTCCAGAGAAAAAGGTCAGGAAAAACTCCACAATGTTTTCCTGAGGCTGTCCTAAAATGTGCGCTGTGTAACCCGACGTTTTGGGAGAAAATTGTCCCCCCCCCCCCGAAAAAAAATCACAGACAAACCAACGAATACGGCGCAAACAGTCAATGGTCTGACCTCTCTCCTGAGCAAGGACGAGTTGGGGGAGGGGGGAATGAGACTTAAGAATTAAAAACACACTCCACTTCCCGTAAGGCCGGGAGAAGCAGCCGTGAGTCACCGTAGCAGTTTGAAACAAGCCCGTTTTATTCTCAGATGCACTGTGTTTGAGCGTCTTCACAGAAAGTCGTTGACATCTGATGACTGACGCTTTGTCTCTCTGCTGCAGCTAGCTGAGTCTAAACAAAGTCCTTCGGCCTGAAAGTGGTCGTCAGTCATCCGTCAAGTTCACCTGGAGGTCAGGTGGGTGAGGAACTCAGAGGTAATGGCGTGTGATGTTTTCAGTTGTTCAGCATACGCACACACACGCAAACACACCAAACACACACACACTATGTAAACACTCATTAAAACAGCCACACATGTAATCACAGCTAAGTGAGGGTAATAGACCACAGTTGTTTTTTCCCCCTTAACATTTTTACTTCACACTGAACAGTCATAGCAGGGGCCCCTCTATAAAAAACAACCCCAAACCCCTAAAATGAGGCTGCATTTCCATGTGGTTTGCATCCTGAGTCACGCACAGCTTGTCCTGCTCCAGTCACAGTCATGCTGACAGCTTAATTACTCTGCTGAGGAAGAGTCCATGATATCTGTTGTGTACCAAGTCCCCTGCTGGTGGGACTGACTCACACACTGAAGTTCAGGTGGACCAGCTTTCAGCTGAATCTGTTGGCGCCCAACGGGGAGCCTGATTCAAATTCTGTCACATAATTTAGACCAGCTGGCTCACTGCGTCTGACCGTTTTCAGTCATCTCATTGTCTGCTTCTGATCTTAGCTCCATATCTCAGCACCTCAGGTAAAAAAAAATAGGCGTTAAGTTTCTCCTAATTAGTTAACAGTTTATCGTTTGGTTTTCTAAATTAGTCATCTAAAAAGCAGGCTTTCCCCCCTTTCTCTGCTGTGCAGCTGTTCATGCATGCAAGTGAGCTCGGCCCCCTTTAACAGAAGATAACGTTCCTGTGGTGCTGACTAGTTCAGAGATGTCCTCCAGATCACTACGCTTCTGACTGGATCCAGGCCAGCTGCTGTGACCTGGAAAAGTGGTGCTGCAGACAGAACCAGAGAAGACCCAAAAAACAGAAGAACAGAAGGATAAACAAGTTTTTGAAAAATAAATATTCACTACAGGGACCTTTAATAAACACACACACACACACACTTGTTTTTCTATCCTTATTAGGACTTTGTATTGACTTCCACTTGTTTTAGTAACTGCATTTATGCCTCACCCTTCCCTTAACCAGTGTATTCCTAAACCAAACAGTAACAAAAACTGAATTCACATCATACATCTAAACCTCACCCCTAATGCCGGTTTCACACTAGAAGCACTGGTGGAACGGTTTACTCGCGAACTTCAAAGCAGTCCGTTTCACAACGGGAAGAGTCTTGGCAGCGGCGTAGCCTCCTCTCTGTGCTCTGCTGGACTCGTGAGATCACAAGATCCCTCGAGACTTTGTTTATGCAATCCGCCATTAAACCAAAAAAAAAAGAGAAGGAAATCACGTTTGATATCGCTGTTTGATGTCATATGATGTTGTTCCTCTTCACTGCCAGTATTAAAGCCATGAAAAACGCACCACTGCACTGCAATGCTGAGTAAATAAGTTGTTTGGTCACACGTAAGCTTCATATATATGAAACAGCATCACTGTAGTACTTTTATGTTGAAATTTACCAGTGATTTTACATTGAAACCGTGTGAGTTCCTGTCTAACCCTATGTTAACTGCAGAAATTGACGCATCCCAGAAGCTTCTGGAAATTGCCACGTCGCTGCTTGTTTGAAACAGTCCATAGACTACAGTGGATTCTATCTGAAGCGCTGCCGTTCCGCGCCGGTGATGCTTTCAGTGTGAAACCGGGGTAATCCTAAAACGGGGTTCACCACATAAGGACCGGGTTTTGGTCATATTAAGGCCCATCGGTCTTCAGAAGATAAGGGAATATGCCAGTTTTGGTCCAAAGTAGGACAGTTAAACAAGTACAAACACGACCCTTATTGAACTATAGATTAAAGCTGCAGATCGATGAGTTTAATGCAGTGATGAAACTGATCCAGTCAATTAGAAATTTGAGATTAAAAAGGAAAAATCAAGCTGAGTTTGTATTATTTTCATATATTTATTAATATTACTGTTTAATCATCTGGAGCAAGAGGGTTTTATATATACACATTATATACAGTACATATATATATATAACAATCCTATTGCCACCGGTACAAAGGATTTCCTGTGGCGGTCAGTTCTGCAACTCATTGACCCGAAATGCAGAACTGACCGCCACAGGAAATCCTTCGTACCGGTGGCAATAGGATTGTTTAACTCTTCCTCACCCTGCAGGTGATTCTCCTAATACCTTTACCTAGGTTATTCTGTTCCATCCCAGACAGTGCAATATTACCCAAGAGTTCTGACTGTAAAAATGTTTTTATCCCCCCATCATATCATATGCTGCTACAAACCCTTATTCTATTACACAATACTTTAATCACTTTTGTGAATCGCCTGCACTAACGGCTTAATTACTTATTCACAAGGATGCAGTCATGTATTTATTTGTTGAGATATGCGATTGTTTGTTTTGCACTATCCTACAGGGTACTACTGTAGATCATTTTTTACTGTATATATTGTATATCATATTTCTATTTCACCTGTTCCTTTGTCTCTCCTACTGCTTTGAGCATGTACATGACACAAGAATTTCCCTCGGGATAAATAAAGTTGTTCTTATTCTTATATATATATATATATATATATATATATATATATATATATATATATATATATATATATATATATATATATATATATATATATATATATACACACACACATATATATACATATATATACACACATATATACACATATATATACATACATATATATACACACACATATATGTGTATATATATATATATATATATATATACACATATATATACATACACACACACACACACAGGGTTTCCCCCAGTGCTTTATAAGCCTGGCGGCAAGTCCCCCCCCCCCCCAACGGGGGAGTGCTGCGGGACGGAGTCACGGCCCTAATAAATATATATATTATATATATATTATAATCTAATTAATTAGATGCTTTGTAATTACTTAATCTAAATTAATCACATTTTTTGAGTGTTTCTGTTTTAACTTACACTTCTGTTTTCAACTTTAACCCCCAAATTCCACTACCTCCGCTCTGCTCCGGTCCACCCCCGACTTCCGCAGCCGCTCGCTTCCGAACTCAAATTATACTATACCCGCTCTACAATGGCTCCGCTCCGGTGCGGAGACCTGAGGTGGGCAAAAAAGCATGCGCGGGATTTTCGAGATCTTGCGATACAGTCCGAGCAATAAACGCGGAAGTTAGATCCAAACACCCGTTGTGTGGGAGAAGCATCGAAATGAACTGTTTAATCTGCCCAACATTTGTGTTGAGAGATCAGCAGTGTTTGGATCAACAAAGCGTGACTACTTTGATAGTGGAAACTGTATTTATGGCTTACTTTTGTGCATTTAAAGTTCAGCCGCCATTGATAGTTGTTAAAAGTTGTTAAACCTGTGCATATGAAACAAAAAACGCTCTTTGTTTATCGATTTATTGTGAAAAACGGAAGTTGTGCTTGCTCCCTTTCCAGTTGGGCGGTTGTGATTCCTGTCCATTTACTGCGGAGGTGCTCCGGCGTCCGGCAAAAATAGAATCGATCCTATTTTTGCCGGATGCCGGAACAGAGGGCGGCGCACTGCGCCGCACTGCCGGAACACGGCCGCAGTAGTGGAATTGCTCTGATTGACTACAACAGGACTGATTCTGCTCCGGAGTTCGTGCCAGAGCAGAGCGGAGGTAGTGGAATTTGGGGGTAAGACACGTTGTTTGTGATTGTTTACAGAGTAGTGAGAACATGGAGCGTTCTCCCAGCGGCAGCCAGGTGCCTCTCGTTTGTCTGACTACTTTCATAAACTACTGTTAGGGCAAAGAATTATTCTGCCTGGTGCTTTCAGCGCTGCACAGATGTTACATAAATGTTAAAAATATAGCTTACCGCAACTTTTGTAAAATTTCCGGTGCCACCGGGCAGCCGCAGCAGAGACGATCTCTGAAAAATGTCCGCAACACGGACTCAGTTGTTGTCTGGAAGTTTTTTTTTCCCAAGTTAAGAAAAGAGGCGGACGGGTTTCCTAAATCCTGCATCAGTCCAAGCAAGGCAACTTCTTTCTGTTTTTATTCAGTTTTAGTAGCCATTAGCACTGTGCATTGTTGTGTGTGTCAGTGATATTCGGTATACGAGGAAATCGTGCAATGACAAAGGTTCCGCCTTGCTCGAAGTGCAAGCTTTGATCAAATGCGTTAATTTTTTTAAATGTGTCATTTTTTTCTAATTAGTTAATCATAATTAACACGTTAAAAGTCCCGGCCCTAATACAGTATATATATATATATATAAAGTCTCCTACACCTATCTCCTGCAGTAGCTTCTGATAGAAAACAAGACGGTGAAATTCTAGGATTAGAAAAGCCTGACAGATCTACGTCACACTGTCACTAACATTCATGGACTCATCCATCTTGGCTCATGACAGGGAAGGCTGTTATTGGTTTGGTTTAGCATCCAGGAAATCCCAGAGAATGTATTGCCTAGTAGAAGCCAACCGTTAGCATTAGCAACTCCACCACACAGCAGAACTCCTCCAGGCTTGTATTATTTATGGAGATGTAATGAAGAAGTTACAGAGATAAAACATCAACGTTGTAGAGCAAACACAGTCGGTGGTAGAGCCGTGTTGCTGTTAGCCAATCAGAGGAGAGATGTCCACATATCAGGAATAAGACTCCAAATCCTGCCGTCTGAGGCTGTCCTCTGATCTGGCAATCTTCTAGATCCTGAAACAGGCACACCTAGGATTTTGTACCCAGAGTACAGCTAACAAAGCATTCACTCCTACTAGAGACCACTGCAGATGTATTATTTAAACGAGTGAACCACACCTTTAATAACAAAACATTGGAATGCTTGCTTAGTATGAGGATTGCTGTTAAGACTCTGACACTAGTCGCTAGTCAGTGACTCGATGCAACCTGCTGTGTTCTTTATATAGGAAACCTTTGACTGATTGGCTTAATGAACGGGGGTCTCATTTACAAAACATTGAGTAGAATCCTTACTAAAACCGTACTTAAGCTCAGCAAAAACAACTTGTACTTACGCCAAGTATGTTTGTGACTATCAAACATGGAGTACGCACAGC